TATTAATATATATATATTTATATCAAAATACACGTAGAACGAAATAATATATATATCTACATACATAAATATATACGTATATATCACTATATATATACCTATATATAAATAAAAATATTTTAAAAAATTATATATATATACACATATATATTCACATACGTATATATATACATATATTAATTCTACATATATATTTATGTAATATTTTTACATAATTAGGTATCTTAATTAATTACAATTAGCGGGACCTGCCTGACAACCCATGCCGAAAGTAAAGGGAATTTAATTTGCTAGCACTATATTTAACCCTATAACTTTCCAAGACACCATAAAACCTGTACATGGGGGGTACTGTTCTACTCGGGAGACTTCGCTGAACACAAATATTAGTGTTTCAAAACAGTAAAATGTATTACAACGATGATATCGCCAGTAAAAGTGAAATTTTTTGCATTTTTCACGCACAAACAGCACTTACACAGACGATATTATTGCTGCAATTCTTTTTACTGTTTTGAAAAACAAATATTTGTGTTCAGCAAAGTCTCCCAAGTACAACAGTACCCCTCATGTACAGGTTTTATGGTGTTTTCAAAAGTTACAGCTTCAAATATAAGGCTTGTGTTTCATTTTTCTCACATTAAAATACGCCAGATTACGTTGCAAACGGGGTATGTCCAGGGACAGAAGGAGGAGAGACGACCACCAAGGGATGGGTGTGAGTGAAAGAGATTATTAAGGGACAAGGGAGTGGAAGACCTGGTAATTGCTTTTGGGGGTCAAAGGCCGGTCATGGCCAATCAGATCCACAGGAGGGTTTTTTGCTGAGCAGCAATCATGCACATGGAAACCCGGTAATTGCTTTTGGGGTCAAGGGCTGGTTACAGCCAATCGGATCCACAGGAGGGGTATTTAAACCCAATTCTCCTTTTGCTCATTGCCTTGTCGTGGTTTCATCCTGATGGTAATCCAAGAGTGCGTTCCTGATCTTGATTTTCTGGTATTTGACTTTGGCTTCGTTTTGACTTTCCTGAATTCTGGTATCCTTGACTTTTGGCTTTCCCTCATCATTGTGTTTGATTCTGTGTTCCTGACCTCGGAAAGTATTTTGACTATTCTTGGATACGTTAAGTCCAGCCATTCTAAGGTCCGGTTATACGTTATCCTTAGTCCTAGGTGTGACACAGTTCTGCGTGCTGGATCAACTTGGAATCCTGACACCTTTACACAAAAGCACACTGCATCCACTACACACACACACACACTGCATCGCCCACACAAACTGGTATCCCTATACTCTACATTCCATAAGCACACACATTAGATACTCTATAGGTGGGCCTTATGGTCATACTCACTGTCAGGCCATGGGGGCCAAGACTTTGAGCTGTTTAAAGGGCCCAAAAAAATTGAGCTGCTTCCCGTTCCCCCAGAACATAGTTTTTTGTGACCACAGATACAAACAGCCTCCAGAGAGCCTGTTCTACACCAGACCAATGGAGTCAGACTGCAGCCAGAGCCCATCATCCTCATCTGGTTGTAAGTAGGCAATCTAGTACATTAGTTACACTAATTTCTAATTTACCTCACATTAAAGGGACACTATTGTCCCCATAACCACTGCAGCTTAATTATTATTATTATTATTACTATGTTATTATTTATATAGTACCCACTAATTCCGCAGCGCTTTACAGTGGGTGGACGAACAGACATGTAATTGTAACCAGACAAGTTGGACACACAGGAACAGGGGGTTGAGGACCCTGCTCAATGAGCTTACATGCTAGATGGAGTAGGGTAAAGTGACACAAAAGGTAAGGATAGTATTAGACTAATGACAGTTGCAGGAGAGGAAACAGTCAGGAACTATTAACAGTTTAATTGATATGTTTTTATGAAGAAGTGTGTTTTTAATGATTTTTTTTAAGGAGTGGAGACTGGGTGAGCATCTAACAGAGGAGGGAAGTGAGTTTCACAGGAACGGTGCAGCCCTCGTGAAGTCTTGAAGGCGAGCATCAGAGGTGGGAGTACAGACAGAAGATAGACTTAAGGCTTCAGCAGAGTGTAAGGGCCTAGATGGGACATACTTGTGTATTAGGGAGGATAGATAGCTGGGAGCAGCATTATGTAGAGATTTGAAAGCAAGAACCAGAATTTTAAATTGAGCCCTATATCTTACAGGAAGCCAATGTAGGGACTGACAGAAGGTTGAGGCGTGGGAGGTGCGGGCGGACAGGAAGATGTGCCACTGCATTCATTATGGACTGTAACAGCACAAGTTAGGAGCACGTAAGACCACTGAGAAGCGTATTACAGTATTCAAGGCGACAAAGGACAGTGGAATGGATCAGCAACTGAGTCGCATCTGGCGTTAAGTAGGGTCGGTTGAGTGCAATGTATTTGAGATGGAAACGACAGGATTTGGCGATAGACTGAACATGAGGGGTGAAGGAGAGGTCGGAGTCAAAGAGAACACCTAGGCAGCGAGCCTGCGTGGTGGAGCTGATGGTAGCACCGTTGACTTGGAGGGAGACAGACACAGGAGTAGCAACACTTGAAGGAAATACCAGAATTTCAGTTTTGGTCAAGTTGAGTTTAAGCCATCCAGTTAGAAATAGCAGAGAGTCAGTCAGAGACACTAGTCAAGAGGGACAGGGAGAGATCAGGAGAGGACAGGTAGATTTGCGTGTCATCCGCATAGAAATTATATTAGGAGCCAAAGGAGCTAATGAGCTTACCAAGGGAGGCAGTATAGATAGAGAACAGTAGGGGACCAACGACTGAACCTTGGGGTACACCAACAGAGAGGAGTTGGGGAGAAGAAGCAGAGCCAGAGAAAGAAACACTGAAAGAGCGCTGGGAAAGTTAGGAGGAGCACCAGGGGAGAGCAATATCTTGTAGACCAATATTACGGAGGATGAGAAGAAGCTGCTGATGATCAACAGTGTCAAAAGCCACAAGCAGGTCAAGGAGAATTAGGATAGAGTAGTGAACACAAGATTTTACAGCGAGTAGATCATTGGATAGAAGAATGCTTAGCACGGAAACCAGACTGAAGCGGGTCTAGCAAGAGTTGGACTCAAGGAATTCTGTCAATCTCACATACACAAGGATCTTGGATGCAAAAGGCAGTAGCGAGCTAGGACGGTAGTTAGATGGGGAGTTAGGGTCAAGGTTGGGCTTCTTTAGAATTGGGGTTACAGTTGCATGTTTGAAGGACAATGGACATATGCCAGAGGAGAGAGAGATTGAGAATTTTAGTGAACGGTAGAGAAAGAGAAGAAGACAGAGTATGGATGAGATGCGAGGGAATTGGATCCAGGGAGCAGGTGGTGGGGCGGGAGGACTGGAGCAGAGCAGAAACCTCTTCCATTGTAGCGGGTGCGAAAGAACATAGAACAGCAGAGGGAGTGAGGTTAGGGTTAGTATTGTAAGGGGAAGAAGAAAGGTGAGAGATCTCTCCTGATTGTAGAGATCTTGTCAGTGAAGTGAGTTGCAAAGTCTGAGGCAGTCAAGTTAGAAGGTGGAGGAGGAACAATAGGACGAAGTAGAGAGTTAAAGGTGTGAAATAGTTGTTTGGGTTCGTGTAAGAGTGTGGTTATGAAGGTATTGAAGTAATTTACTTTTGCAGAGGAAAGAGCCAAGCTGTATGAGCGCAGCATAAATTTATAGTGGAGAAAGTCAGACGCACAGTGAGACTTTCTCCAACAGCGTCCAGCAGTTCAGGAGCATTTTTGGATGTATCGAGTCAGCTTGGTGTACCAAGGTTGGGGGCGCCTGCTGCGCTTAAATGTAGGAGGTGCCATGATGTCTAGTTGAGAGCAGTGGGTGGAATTGTAGAAGGAGGTTGCAGAGCTAGGACAGGTGAGGTTTGAGATAGGTAAAATAAGTGTTTGGAGATTAGTGGAGAAATGCTCTAGGTAAAGACATTGGAGATTTCTGTGAGATTGATGTTCAGACGGTGGTGTCAATTGGGTCTTGGGAATTGCGGCTAACAGACATGCCGGGCGGGCGGCGCTGGGCGGGCGCCTGGAGTGGGAGCTCTTCCTCTGAGCTGTCTGCTCAGCTCCCTCGCGCGCCACATGATGTCATCTTCAGCTCCCACCCTCACTCTGAAGCGCGCGAGGGATCTGAGCAGACAGCTCAGAGGAAGAGCTCCCTCGCCAGCCGCCCACCCGCCCAGCAGCCACTGGACCCCGAGGGAGAGAGGGTTAAAAAAAAAAAATGTGTTAATGTGAGTGTGTCTGTTAGTGAGTGTGTCTGTTAGTGTGTGTGTGTGTGAGTGTGTCTGTTAGTGTGTGTGTGAGTGTCTGTGAGTGAGTGTGTCAGTTAGTGAGTGTGTCTGTTAGTGAGTGAGTGTGCGTATCTGTTAGTGAGTGTGTGTGTTAGTGTGTGTGTCTGTTAGTGAGTGTGTCTATTAGTGTGTGTGTCAGTGAGTGTGTGTTAGTGAGTGTTTGTTAGTGAGTGTGTCTGTCTGTTAGTGAGTGTGTGTGTGTGTCTGTGTCTGTGTCTGACTGTTAGTGTGAGTATGTTTGCCTGTGAGTGTGTGTCTGCTAGTGAGTGTGTGTGTCTGCTAGTGAGTGTGTGTGTCTGCTAGTGAGTGTGTGTGTCTGCTAGTGAGTGTGTGTGTGTGTGTGACTGTGTGTGTGTGTATGTTTGCCTGTGAGTGTGTGTGTGTCTGCTAGTGTGTGTCAGTGAGTTTGTGTTTCTGTTAGCTAGTGTATGTGTATCTGTCAGTGAGTGTGTGTGTGTGTGTATTTAGAAGGCGGGGCGGGGGGAAGGGATGGGTGGGAGTCGCGCGCATGGGGGTGCTACGGGGGGGAGGGTTTGGGGGGCACCTGAGTTTTGTCCTGCCTAGGGCAGCACAAAACCAGGATACACCACTGGGTAGGAGTGAGAGAGTAGAAAAATGAGTGCAAGGCATGAGATGAGAGAAGGGGGGAGTGTAGTAGAGAGGGGCATATGTAAATATGGATGAGGGGATGAGTGAAGTGGGTGTAAGGAGAGTGTAAAGAGAGGTGTTATATTGAGGGAGAAGGCGGAAATAAAGAGGAGAAGACAGATCATTGCTAAACTGTGAAAAAGTAAATTGGAAATAATTGGAATATCAATAGCAGGTGAAGGTAGAGTAAATATATAAATATTAAGTTTTATGGGTTAGGAAAGTGCAGGAGTGTACTAATAAGAGGCAGTGTAAACTTACCACCGAGCTACCCGCTAGGCCATGCCCCCTTTTTGTCATAATGACGAAATCGCAGGGCCCAATAGGAAGCTTCTCCTTGAGAAGCGTCATCGTGATGTGGTGAGCATGCACGGTTTCGCGCTGCACCTATCGCATTCTTCATAGAGCGGCATTGAATGCTGCCCTATGAAGAAACTCAGCGCTCAACCGAGTATGTGCGCGGAATGTGCGTTCGTGAGCTGAGCTGTCTGACTGACAGCTCAGCTCGCTTTCTATCCCCGCCCCCTTCCTCAGATCTCTCTATACATAGTGTTTCTATGCAAACACACAAGTAGTAAAAAATTAGACATACATACACACTCTTTCTCCATCCAGATCCATCCATCCCCATCATCCATATCCATCCATCCATCCCCATCATCCATATCCATCCATCCCCATCACCCATATCCATCATCCATCCATATCCATCCCCATCATCCAAATCCATCCACTCCCATCATCCATATCCATACCCAAATCCATCCACTCCCATCATCCATATCCATCCACTCCCATCATCCATATCCATCCATCCCTATTATCCATCCATCCCTATCATCCATCCTCACCCACACCCTCAGTCACACACCCACACTCACTAAATAAGTTTACTTACAGTTTGAATCCTCCCCTCCTCCTCTTTGGTCTTCAGCCTGTCAGCTCAAGCCACTCCCACGCAGTGCTGACAGCCTCAGCACACAAAGCTCGTGCACAGTGCTTTGTGTGCTGATAGCACGTCTGAAGTATTCACCAATGCGTGAAAACGTCAGACGTAAATGAAGCCTTTTTAGGGCTTCTGAACTCGGAAGTCCCTCTGGTGGCCGTCTGATTGACTGCAACAAGAGGTGTTCCAAGCTTCCAATGTAAACACTGTATTTTCTCAGAAAATACAGTCCATACAAGAAAAAGGCTGCAGGGAGCTGTAGCACTCACCTGAACAACCTCATTAAGCTGAAGTTGTTCAGGTGACTATAGTGTCCCTGTCAAAAATCCTTGCACCGGTCCTGCTTGTCGTATAGGGTTGCTAGGCACAAATTGCAGTTTTTTTGCCAATTAGTAAATGTGATCCAGACTATGCATTCTAATATTGACTTGCTAAGGTGTAAAACATGTCTGCTTCCTTTGCTTATTGCTGCAAAATAGAGAATAATAATTAGCAGCAATTAAAAAGGCGAGTAGCCTGAAATAGTACAGTATGTGTTCGTGACAATACCTGATGGAGTGTGAAGTGTTCCTTTGTCTAACTTGCACGTACTTAGGGCATTTCAGTGTTTTAGCTATTTTTAAAGTAAATATTTTTAATGCTAAGATACCTGATAAGGAAAACATCTTCAAGTGATGCTAATTCCATTGGAACCTCTGCGTTCTTAAGCAAGATGATCTTGATAGTTAATCAAATTCACAATTGGTCACAATGTTATCTGTCTCATTTCATTATGACGTTGATTTTCATGGATGTTGTACAGAATCTACAAAAATATTGTGAATTTCTGAAGTGGATATGTTTTAAAGAGTTAAAGGGACAGACAGATGATCTATAATTCAAGTCATTACATATATACTTTGCACTATTTCATAATAGATGATAAGATCCACTCACATGGACCAGAGCCTGTAGTTACTGGCTCTGTAATCAACGCTGTTATGCCTTTATGGTAGCATACCACCATCCATCGAGTGGATCTCCTGTTTGTAGATATATAAAACAAAAAAAGAAAGAGAACACTCCAATGGTACATGACTGCTGGCCCAACCAGTCCCCGACCAAAACCCGTTGCCCCCCAATAATACACGTGACACCTCATTCTTGTGGATAAGGACAACGGCCACCGCTTTATTTAATATAACAATTTTAACTCAGTCCAACTCTGCCAGCTGTTGGGTGTTTCCCAACAGGCAGTTCTCCTAAATTCTGTGCCATGAGCCTCGACAGCCGGCTCCTCGCCATCAGCTCCGTGCAGGCTGTCATCTCCCCAAAGTTCCTTTTTTCTTCTGCGCTGTCCAGTGAAACCCGCCAAGCTGTGACAACACAAAGAACGAGAAACAAGCCACAAGCCACAACACCAGAAACAGGGTGGGAGGGTGGGAAAACAGTCAGGAGCCCTAACTGATCCTGCTGACTGGTAAGTCCCCTCCCTCTCCCTTTCCTTAAGAACCACAACTTTAGACACAAATGTATATACCTTAACCCAGCCCACAATCTTGGGCAGCAGTCATGCTCCCCCTTCCTTATTGTTCCAGGGGGAAACTGTATATTGTGTCTTCTTATATACCCTGGCTTAAAATTTCTTAAGCTCACCTTATTCTGAGCCCCTAAATCCTGGCTCTGGAATTGAATGCCTGTTGCCTAATTCAGGGTTGGCAAAACCTCAAATGGATCACTTCTGAAGCTGGGAATCATACAGGTACTGTATAAACTTGATTATACAAATTTTTTGCCAAAAATATTGGTAAAACAAATCAATAGATAAAACAAGTCATTCTGTCTCCTGGGTCCGCCCCTGCGTCCCTCCATCAGTGGGGTTGGTCCAGATTATTCTGTGTCTTGGTACCCCAGTTAGTTCTATCCTGCGGATCAAGTGACTGCTACTGTACTATTTTGTTACAGGAAGTTACACCAGGGTTCCCATGTATTAGTGTATGTTTGGTAATTTTTGGAGAGGGAGAAGCAAACCTCTTCCATTGTCCTGATACCCTCTACTTTTTGTATCCATTCCCTAATGGTTGGTGGATTGGCTTTTTTCCATTGTATCAGGATAGTTTGAGTCGCTGCAGTGAGCATGTGTCTGATGAGCATTGTGATAGTTCTCGGTAGTGGGGAGGGGAGTAAGTGGAATATGAAGGTTTCGGGTGAAAATGGCAGATGCACCCCTGTAATGTTCTGAATCAGTGTGGATATTCTGGACTCAAATGTCTTTTTTATATTTTGGACATGTTCTTTGATCCGTATGTGTTGTAGAAATATTGATGAATTATTTTTTGTGGAAGAAAATGTTTTTCATCAGATAGATCAAATGGAAGAAAAATCAATTTATAAATGTCAAAGAACATTAGAGAGACTCTTAAGTAGAGAGACAAGAATTAAGTGGGAAATCGTTGGAAAAATATATCAAAGAAAGTATCACCCCAAATACCCTTCATTTGAACAAGAGGACGATAATTTTATAAAGGAGTGGGAAATAATGTTAGACTCCTTTTCATTTGGGATTATGAACATGATAATAAAGAGAAGGAATTTTACATTGGAAAAACTTGATCAGGAAATTAATAAGGAACAGAATTTACTCCTCAATCATAACAATGCAGAGGAATGTAAATCAATAAGTGATGACATTCAGAAATGCTTAGACAAAATAGAAAAATAAACCATGCAAATAAAGAAGAGAAAATACATTAGGGACCTGACAGACTATAGAAGAAATGAGGTGAGGACATACAATAAGAAATCATACAATAAGAGGAAGATCCCTCAAAACTTGGGATAATTACCATCCCTCACATTCTAGGGATAATTACCCCCCCTCCTCCCAAGGTCCCCAATGGAAAGAAGAAGTATAGAGGACGGGGAAATAGAGGAGGAGTTTATACTTAAAGGAGGAAAAAGGGACCAAAGGTGTCATTAAAGACCAATAAGAAGATAGAAAAAGATTTGGACATCTTTAATTTGACACAAAAAACTTTAAACCATTTAGAATTAAACGTGTTAAAAAAGGGTTTAAAATTCGCTCCAACGAGAGCGAATTTTATACGTATGTACATAACGACAACAAATTTGATACGTATGTTGACTTGAACCCAATAGATCTCTCCGGGAATCTTACAGTGCAAACCCCCATTAATGAGGATTACATACACACATCCCTCAAAAATAGTTCCACTTTATTTCCTAAAAATTTCATTTCAAATGAAATGATAACTTTTGAGAAACTTGTAATGACAGAAATTAATAAAATTGAAAAATTAAAAAAAAACTATAAATATCAACACAACTTAAGTCAGGAAGAATAACGAGCCCTAAAGAAAAAATGCAGGAAGACAGTTCCATAGTCATAAAACCAGCAGACAAAGTGAAGGTGGGGGGGTTATTGTCCTTATGACCAACAAATCTACAAAAAACTAAAAGCAGATCCCACAAAAGAAATCAAAGACAAGTTCCGAACATATTTTTTTATAAAAGTATTTGAAACGGGAATACTTAAACAGGAATTCGAGTATCTAGATGAAAAATTTCCAAAAATTCCAGTGTTTTATCAAATTTTTGTATTATGTGCCATATTACTACATTATTCTGCCCTTAAATAATTTTAGAGAAACACAGTATGATTTTCTTCACTTATCAAAATTACAGTAATGCATTAAACAGGTTTCGCAGCATGGAAGAGCAGTCATCCAGAAGATTAACTTCTGTTGCACCCTATCCCCTTGATAACAGTACAGTTTGCTTTAAGTAACATGTAGTCTGACCGTTCCAGCAAATTAATAGCATGTTGCTCTCCTTGATCTTTCCGATTACAGACATTCAAGGCTTCTGCTGTCTGGCTTCATAGTTCTGTGGTTCCCTGCTTTTCTCATCACTTCCTTTTGTACAAGTATTTGAGGACATGACACCTAAGTCATCTCATACATCAATTAAACACATCTCTGCTCGTACATACACTTAATGACAAAAAGTCAGCAGAAAGGTTTTAAAGGGGACAAAGTCAACATCAACGTAAGTCTCACGGGTTTATGTTAGAATTAACAACATCTGTGAGAATGCACCCAAGTACACATAATAATGTTAACAATTAACACATAAGTAATTAGGAACAAAGAGATATGACACATTTGGGAAATTGCATTGTTTGTGACTCTCTAAATGTGAGTGGCTGTATGTGTGTGTCTGTACCCCTGTAATGCGTTTGTATGTGATTGTGTATTGGTATGTATCTTTATTGGCTTCTACGAGTGTATGTTTGTCTGTAGATGTGACAACCTACCTGTTGGTTTGCTTGGAGAGGAACTCAGTTGCAGTGGACCGGCAGCCCCTTGCAGACACAGCCTTCTCAAGTGCTTAACAGTGATATGGGAACCTGGGAGATCTATGGGTAACTTTATTTACAAAGAAAGCAATGAAGCCAGAAAAGAGCAGACAGGAAGTGTCAGGCGGTTTGATGGTCAGGGTTGGCAGCAAAGGAGCAAAAGTGAAGAGTCAAGCTGAAGGTCAGAAGACAAGAAATCCACGAATAGTGAGAGGGATGTCAGAGACAAGAAGCGTAGTCAAGGTCAAAGCCAAAAGGTCACTTGGCTGGGAAGGATGGCGGCATTTAAAATGTCTCTCCTCCCCAAGCTACAATACATATTTAGAACATTACAAATAGACCTGCCATCCTCATACCTGAATAAAATACAAACACTGCTCACCAAATTTGTATGGGCACAAAAGAGAGTGAGAGTAGTGACAAAATTCTTACATAGACCTATCCCCTGCGGGGGTCTTGCTTTGCCAAATATCAAAACCTATTACCAGGCAACACTATTGGCCCCAATGGTGGGGATACACACTTATAGCACAACCCCTCAATGGCTAGAAATTGAAGATCACTGGTTACAAGGGGTAGACCTTCGGAAACTAGTGTGGGTACCTAAAAAGATGCGCCCAACCCAACCTCACATACTACCCACCACCAAAACAATGCTGAAAGCCTGGGACAAAACACAGAAGGCATTGGTGTCCATGCTACCATGGTCACCGGCGACCCTACTAACCAGCCTACACGCAGCCAACAACACGTTTGACCACAGGGAATGGACAAAGAGAGGGTGTACACATGTGAGAGACCTCCTAGAGGCACACAACCTGATACCATTCCCCATTCTCCAAGAAACATTTAACCTACCCCCCAGACTGATATTTCCGTATCTACAAATTAAATCAATGCTAGGGGCCCAAACACCCACAGCGAACAGGGTGAGCACACTTACAGTGTTAGAGAGAATGTGTCTGAACCAAAAGCAGTCAAAAGGGATAATATCTATGTGCTACTCGCTCCTAAACGTGGGAACCCCTGTACATCTGGATAGATTCAGTGAGGCCTGGCAGGGGGATATGGGAAAAAAATTCGATGAAACCCAATGGGCAAAAGCAGTAACGGCACACAAGGGGAAGACATTGTGTACAACACACCTAGAATTAATGAGGAAAGTGTATTATAGATGGTACATGGTGCCAGCCAGACTGGCAAAAATATACCCAGAAACATCCGCACAGTGCTGGAGATGTGGGTTGACGGAGGCCATGATGTACCACGTGTGGTGGACGTGCGAGGTCATCCGTCCCTACTGGGAGACAGTAGAGAGCATTATTAAAGAGGTTGTAGACACCAGCCTCACAATCACCCCAGAAATGTGCCTCCTATTTATGGAATTGGGCCAGTTCAAAGGGAGTGGAGCAATATTGATCTTCCACATACTAATAGCAGCCCTGACGCTCATAGCTAGAGAATGGAAAACTATAACAGCACCGACAAAACGAGCCCTGATAAAGCAGGTCTCTACTAACATACAATACGAAATGGTGGCGAGAAAAGCCTACGGCAACAGCCAGAGATTTGAGGAAGCTCAACTTAGATGGGAAACCATACACACCCCCACGAGACAAGAGGACAACGAATAGTCCCCAAACCACTAGAGCGACCCCCCAAGGAGATTTAACAATACAACAAGTATATGCCCCCAGGCGTACAAGATGGAGCCCAAGGGATATAAACCAGAGAGGACCGAGAAGATAGATAGGGGTATATAGTAGTACAAGGGTATAGAGAGAAATACATTGAAATCAACAAGAGGACAGAACCGGTAGGAGGGCTACACGCTGATCTCGCAAACCCACTCCGCCTCCTCCTTTTCTCCCCCCCTCCCACACCCCACAAGCTATTTTACCCCCCTCCCTCACCGGGATACTTGAGGAGAGACACGGAAGGCCTAGAACTTTGATAACCTAAGGAGAACACAAATGGGTGGCACACACTGAAATCGCTGCAAAGCAGTAGTGTCCACTCCGTTAGGGACCGTAGGGGTACACTTACAAGGATAAGGAGCAAAGAAGGTCCCAGAACCCAACACCAGAGGGCAAGTCTAGACGAACAAAATGTATAACATGACATTGTACACTATGGCACCATGTAACGGATAAATTGTATGATGACAATGCATGATGTCCCACCCTACCTCCCCTTCTCTCTTCTGTATCCCAAGTTTTATTTTATTTGAAAATAAAAATTGTCAAATTGAAAAAAAAAAAAAGCCAAAAGGTCAGAAGCTGAGTTTTACAGAAGTCAGGAACCAAAAATCAGAAACCATGAACAACAACCAAGTGCATGCAGTGCTTTGGTATTTATAGGGAGAGCTGAAAATGCGACCACACCCCACCTCCCTGTAGGCAGAGCCCTCAGTACAATACAGGAGGAGCCAGGAACCAACGTCATATTAGTTGTGTCACCACCCCTTTCCCCCCACTTGCTCCTCCAGCACCTCCTGCTTTCTCTCAAGAGACATTTGCCATGGCAGCACTATCATGGAGCCTAGCGCAGATTAAGAACACTTGACCAGACCATGAGGAGCACCACCGGTGCGGACCCACTCCCAGGATGCCACAGGGGGACTGGAGCAGGTAAGTGCAGGACTCTGGGACAGTACATGTATCTGAATGTGATTTGTTGGGGTTTGTGTTTGAAGCTATTTATCATGATTAGGAGGGACAAAAAGGAGCAAAGTCAAACACAGGACAAGGAACCACAAGAAGTCAGAATGCGGAGTGCCCTGTAATTGTTAAAATACAAAAAAAAAGATTGTCAGTGTTTGTGTTGTTTTGAATCTGGTTACAATTATTATTTGTTAGGAGCAATATCATTAAAATTAAGTATGAATGTCTTACTGATCTTAAAGCAGCTCTGTCATCGTGTGGGGCCTTGGCATATTTTAAAAATACTCATGGAAGGGAGATAACAGTGACGCTTTAACAAACCATTGCAACAAGTAAAATCAGAATGCCTTGCTAAAGACAGGGGATGGTTTTATTTTTTTTAAATCACATCCCAGTTTCCCATTTCCTCACATTTCTAGGACTTAATTACCTTTATGACATGATGCACTCTTCCATGGTAACCCTGGAAGAGAGAAACTTTTCTTCCAGGGATTGTGAGTTGCTAGTTGTACAGAGGGCACATTGTCACTGGATGAGTCTGCTTTACAGGAGCTCTGTCACAGTCCAACAAAACCATAGTTGTATATTAATAAGCAAAGAGCTGGCTTTCAGTCCTAAAGTTTCGTAACACTGAATTTGACCTATTCTGCAGTCTTCTCTTTGGTATATCTCTCTGTGTACACTGCCAGAGATGGAAAGGTAAATGGTACTTCTTACATGTATATATAATTTACTTGTTAATCATCTGGCAGGAAATTAATTTCTGCACAAAAAAAAAAAAAGAATGCAGAGGACCTCTGAGTTGCACGCTTGTGCCAGCCAAAAGGAAGTGATATGTTGTATCTATTGGTAGACTTACAAGAACCTGGACTCCTAGGAAAACCTAGGGTATGGTCCCCTACGCCTATAATGATGCCCTTACTTTCTACCTAATCCCAACGCATTGTCACACCAGTCTCTGCTCCCAAACATTCCCCTCCATAATCAGCCATGGATTTCCAAAATTCATTCACATACCCCACAATAAAAATTATCTTCCTCTGCAGAGAGATTACCTTTCTATGTATATACCTATTGTTACTCCATTAGATATCTCCTCTTCCATACATCTTCTTGTTAGTTTCACTCTGCATATCTCCTTTTCATTACATATTGCACCCATTCTCCATTAGTCAATCTTTCACTTTCTATTAGACATGCTTCTCAACTAGATATTTTTGTTCCTTCTTCATTAGACACCATCTTTTCCTCCCTTTCAGACATGCCTTTTCCCTTCCTTCCTTCTTTCCTTTCCTCTCCAATAGACATCCTATTACCTCTAGTTAAAATATCACCTCGCTAATTCAGATGTCCCATCTCTCTGTCTCCTTTATACATCTTCCACATGTTTCATCTCTCTACTAGACATCCAACAGTCATTTCTATCTCCATTCACCATGCCCATTCCTTTTCCTCCTATTAACATCTAGTTCCCTTTCCTGTAAACCTACCTCTCCATCCTTTAGACATCCCTGCTCCGTTGACATCCCTGCTCCGTTGCCCTCTTACCCTATTCAGCAAATGATTTAGATTTACAGGTGAAAGTTGTAGTGTAGGTTGACCTTTTAGACTGTATAGTAAAAAATACTCATGCCAGAAGTTAGTCACATTACACTGAAAGCCAGGTTAGCAGTATATGTGTTCGCTATAAAAGACTTCTTGACAGTTAACACTTTGGTGTGTAACATAAGAGGCCACTAACACAATTCAGAGGCAGCTAATTAATGCCCACATTGTAGGTGCATCTGTCACAAAATCAGAGAAATATATATATATATATATAAATTACAATTTTGTATAAAGCGTCAACATGTTCCACAGCACGGTAAAAAAGATAAACCAAGACCAACAATTCTGATAAACTGCTTTTTGCTAATCCTTTATTTTTTTCTGTTGTAAATTATTCCCTGCATCGATGTATTATGGACTTTTATGGACTCTTGTATCCTTAATGTGAATGGAACGGTTCACGACCGTGGAATGCATACCGGCCAAGGATGATGACATCATCTTTAAATGAAAATGAGGATTGAACCACAAGCCTTGAAATGATGAGCTACAGCTGGTACACCTCTGTGCGGATAGGCTGATGGCAACCCACGGGAGTTCCCAGACGCATTTAAAAAGTGCACCACAAACTCTTACGGATCAGACTACCACAAGGAGATGAACCAATGCCTTATTTTCCCTGAAGAAGTTCATGTTTTGAACGAAACGCGTAGGGCTTTCTTTTAGTGTTATTAGAATTTCTTCTTTTTGTTACTTTGTATTTTATTTTACTCCACTTAGTCACAGTATCTTTGTGCTTCGAGAAGGACTTTAGAACACCTCCATATTCCACCATTGAGAGTTCCTGCCTTCCTGCACCAAGCGACTATTCTGTGATGTGTCTATTATTCATTTTTATCTTGTAAGTGGTTTATTAAAAGGTTTATTTTGTGATAGAAACTCTGCACTATTATTATTTTACTTCTCTCCGGCATGTCCTGATATCGATGCGAAGATACCAAAGCAATATATTGATATGCCTACAATCAATTTGTGTGTTTCTACAAACATTTCATACCCCCTATACTGGCAATATTTCCCTATGTTTTTCTCTTTAAATTTCTGCATTGTAGATACCTGTTTTCTGGTGTGTGTATTTTCTATTGTTGAGGACCCGGAGGAGTGCTATTTCTACATGCAGACAGTAATATTGGGGTAAAATTGTTTTCGACTTTTTTATCCCATCTGTATCTTACTTTTCCACTAAAGGTGTTTCTGGTATACCTGGTGTATTCTGATAAAAAACACCTTTGACATGTGGAACTGTAGGAAAAGATGGCCGAGCTTAGGTTCAGAACAGTTTGACTTTTTCCCTGCCTCCTCTACCCTGAATGTGATTGCTTTCAGCCAAACAGCAAGCATGCACAATTTAGCTCAAGAGAGCTAACTGGAGTTCTTACTTAGGAGCTTCTGGGTCTCTGTCATTACTAATGGAGGTAGAAAGTGGTGCCCATCAGAACTCAAGGTATCAAGTCAGACCGTTCTTTAACAGTTTGTTTACAATGGAAATGGGGCGCGGGGAGGGGTGGCGCCAGGGCACTCCTACAAAGCAACCTATAGTAGTTAAAATGCATGTAATGTTCCTTTAAATATGAGATGATGCTCCATAAAAAAAAATATATTTAGGGAATACTGCATACATGCCTAACAGCTTACTTTATCTGACTTATCTATAGAACAATGTGTTTTGTAGTAGACGGTGGCTCCAAATAGTTGCCATCTATGTATTTTCTGGTCACTAACCATAATTTGAACTGCGTCTGCAGCTGTATTCTCTCTAAAGCTCTGTCTGTTTTATTCCCAGATCCACACACATAGTCAATTCTGTCTTTCTACCTTTACGTTGTTCTGCAATGTGTAAATCGCAGAACCTCATGCTGCAGAAACATACATAATAGATATTTTTCTAACATCATAATACGTATTAATGTTTACCATGCTCATGCATAATAGCACAGATTAGTGTAAAGTGTTTGGTATTCCTTCCCCGTTGCCAACATTAAATCTAATGTAAAGTATAACTAAATTCAAATGAGAAATGCTTTATAATATATCTATATATCTACACAACCGTGACAGCTAAGGGCTTCCGTACAAATAGGCAATTTATCAGACTGTTCTGAAGATCAGCTCACATTTAGTTATTCGCAGTAAAACGAGCACAAAGAAAAGAAAACAAAATCCTTTGGGCATAACCCTTATGTCACAACCTGATAAATATAGGTAATACACAATAAAAAAAAAAAAGTGGTTACTTACTATGACTTATGAATAGACGGTCAGGCTCTCAGCAGCAACACCATCAACATGGGATACTGTCAAACCTTCCAATATGGACCAGCCTCAACTATTACCTAGACACTTGGAGACATTCAGCATTTCACATGTCATTGTAGTTATTTTAACACAAATATAAAAGCTGACAATTTCTGAAACAAATGAATGCACCGCATCCATCAATTCCCCATTACAAGGGCAACAGACCAATGTCTTACATTACAGATTGATATTAAGTATTTCAGAGGCAGTGGCTGGAGTTTTATATCACAGAGTAGGCGTCCTATGTTGTTGAGGAGGCAGACTGGAGGCCTGCATTACAAAGGAGGACCAAATAGGGCTGTGGCCCTAAGTAAGCCAAAAGTTTCCAAAGATTTTCAGTTTCTCTCCACGCATCTTAGCACCCATTGATCTTACATTATTCAAAAATTCATCCTCTTGCACAACTCTCATACTCCACATTTCTCCACATCAACACATTTTATTTGTACACCATACCAGCTGTCTCCCCTCTTTTGATTTCACTCATTACAGCTGTATCCACTCTCCCTTTCTTTATTAGCATTCACCTTCTCCCTAGCACCTATTCCAAAAAATATAGGCCATTTTCTTACAACATCTCAAGTCATTATTGAGTTCCAAATAGCAGTCCCATTCCAGCATTCCTCTGTTTTAAGTCTCTAGGTAGAAACATCACCTACCTTCATTATGAGCCTAATTTCCAGGAACAAGTACCTAAAACACTGCAAACACCATAACCACTACAGCATGCCCTGGTGTCCCTCCAATCTAAGCAGTCAAACCATTTTACATGGTTTCACTTCTTAACTGGGATCTGCCAGGTGCTGCTCTACAGGCTACCAAAACAACTGCTCTATAATAATAATTATAATCTAATACTATAATGTGTCTATGCATCAAACAGAAATGTTTTTGAGCTTTTAAAGCCAGGTATTTATGTAGGAAATGATTAACAATGATATGTTGAGATATGCCTACATTTTCAACTAGGTCTTCATCTAGTATACTTCATCTATAATTTTATTTCAATCAGCAAGAACCTAACAAGATAAATTAATCAGGAGTATATGTGAAAGTTTTGCTCCTGCCCTTCCCTATCTCAAACGGAACCCGCCAGGGTTGCCCCCTGTTGCCTCTCCTGTATGTACTGGCCTTGGAGCCACTAGCCAAAGCAATTAGACAGAACCCAAACATTCATGGAGTACCAATAAAGGACAAGGAATACAAACATAATTTATTTGCAGATGATATCTTACTGACGCTTACACGACCCATGATTTCACTCCAGAACCTCCGACGTGAAATAACAGCATACGGCAAACAATCGTACTACCAGCTGAGCGTAATCATAACCCAAGCAATGGGTATAAACTTACCAGTAGAACTGGAAGCTAGACTAAAAAAAAAAAACATTCCAATACGACTGGAGGGACGACTACCTGACCTTTCTACGGATTATAAATACCTCCACCGCCAAAACTACGACAAACTACAGAAAGAGATAGAGAACATACTACACAATTGCCAAAATAAATTCCTCTCCTGGTTTGGTAGAATTGCGGCCATAAAAATGGCTATATTAACTAACATCCTCTACCTATCCACCTACCCCACTCCTATATCAAAATACTTCAATCTATCCTAATCAAATTTAGCTGGGGAGGAAAAACACCCACGTATTCCAAGAGCCCTGCTTAAGAAAGCGAATGAGAAGGGCGGGATAAATTTTCCAAATCTAAAAGCTTACCTACATGCAACACACCTTACAAACATTATAGGAATGCACTCCAAAACATACATACCCCAATGCGTAACCATAGAGGAACATTACAGAAAACAACAAGACTTGGCAGCAACGATATGGGTCCCTAAAGACCTACAGAAATTGTCCAACACTACTCTACCAACCACCCGGCTACTCCTTCAATGCTGGAATGAACACAGGTGCTTAGCCACCATCACACAACCATGCTCTCTAGCAATGCCTATACGATCACTACAAATATTCAATCACTGTAAATAGCACCAGCATGGCATAACCCACATACACCAGCTATAAACGGAGAACAGGCTTAAACCTTTCCCAGAACTACAGGAGAGTCCTACACTGCCATAAACACTAATATTTCCATACCTACAACTGAAAACACTCCTAACGTGCACTAAAGTACACACTCAAAACCAAACAGTCGATCTTGGGCTGACCTCCTTTGAAAAAAATGTGTATGAATAAGATACCACCTAAGAAAACCCTGTCAATATGCTACAAACACATAACGGCACACAAAACAGAGCTGCCCTGGGGGTTCATGAGAGATTGGCATGTAGACTTAGGTTATGAGCTAACCCGAGTAGAATAGAACAAAATCTTTGCAGCACAGAAGGGCCTTACCACATGCGCCTCGCATATGGAGGCATCCCGGAAAATCCTGTACCGATGGTACATGGTGCCGGCTAAACTAGCTAAAATATATCCTAATGTCAGCAATCACTGCTGGAGATGTCACTCGCCTACAGCTCTGGGAACGATGCTCCACATGTGGTGGACATGCCCAGAGGTAATGAACCTTTGGAAAAAGGTCGCAGCATTGATACAGGAGGTAACAGGTCTTAGAATAGACTGTACTATAGAGAGCTGCATACTAAAATTGCTTCCCGGAGACATACCCAGGCCTATCCAAAAGATAATATATCTAGTACTCACATGGACCTCCACATTGATTGTGAAAAACTGGAAGTCCAACATCCATCCAACCACCAAAGAAATACAGACAATAGTGACGACCACCCTAGAATATGAGGTGATGATGTGGTACCAGACTAGAATAGGGAAACTGAGCCACACTGCCAATCAAATGTGGGCTTCCTAAAAACAGAACACTACAACACAGTAATATAGCACCATACTATGCACTTCGGAGACGAGTGTACAGCCCCTGGCTCTCAACACAAAAAGGAACGTATTGGTCGTCCCTGCTGTGGACCCCACATACTGGGTCAAATGTATTAATTAATAATGAGATAAAGAAAAAAGGGGAAAAGTAATAGATTACACTCTTGCTACATAGGGCCTCTGCCTCCATAAAGGGTTCAGGTAGGCAGGGATGAGGTTTTGCTAGTACTAAGTATAACACAAATCTGTCGCAATGTAATGTTACCTTTTGTGAACAGGAATAGGCTGTTGCGAATTTCCAAATGTATCTTAAACCTTCTTCCTCCTCCTCCCTTTCTCATTTCTATACTAATCTTGAAATGACAAACTAAAAGTTCGGGGGGGAAAAGGAAATATGTGAAAGAATGGACCTATATAACAGTTAAATTACAGATTACAGTTGGCAACACTATCGTAATGGGCTTGGGTTCTCCTGTCAGAAGAAGGGGCACAGCTCAACCTAAATTATTAACATAAATGAAAAAGAAAAGAGATGGGGATAGAATTAGACAAAAAAAAGTGGGAAGGACACGGAAGATGGGTGGGAAGTGAGGGACTATAAACCCTGAATAGAATAAGAAAAAAAACAAAAGACATGGCAAGAAAACAACCACAAGAGACCAGGACATATTAAAGGAGAGATCACTAAAACAGACAAGATGGTCATTCAGTAAAATGGGGGCCACAATATGCTACATTTATATTGTCAACCATAACTATATCTACAGGAGGGGGAATGTAAAACTAAAGTAGAAATAGGCATGAATTAAACAATTAAATAGAAGATTATTGGTGCAAAAATGTAACAAATATCCACAGAATTACCCCTGGTAATTTTTGGGAAATAGAGCACTAGACAGAGACAGACACAGAGTACAAAAACTTTACTTTCAAATGTAGACACGCAACTCTAAAAAGTTAAGAAAACACAAAAACAACTTTATATGTAGAACAAGCAGATAGCTGTCCGAGTTGGAGAGCTTACACAACATAAATGGGAAAAATATTGTTTCACTTGAAAAATTATGGGTCTAAGAGGCAGCATAAAATACTGCTAGGCACGCCTTTATCTTACTTCTGCTTTAAAAAGGAGTCATAAAATAGTCAACAAATGCATTTCTTTGTTAAAACATCAGACATTTCTCCATCTTATCTTTATCTTCATTAATAGCTTAATTGTTTCTAAAGCTTTAATCTGTCAGTACAAATCTGTGCACGAAATGAAGAAATGGTATAGCTATTGCCCGAGGGATTTATTTTGCTCTCTTCTCTTGCTGTTCTCACAACACACATCGAACAGCTAACCTTGGAGGAAAAAAAAATGGACCAATGGACCATAGTTTGCTGAGTTCACATTGCATGGTTTGTAACTCACCAGTTCTTGTTACATATCTATTATTGCTGGTAAAATTTGCAACGGATTTGTGAATTTTAGAACTAATCGAGATGGATTATCTATTTAATAGAAATAGACGTAATTCAGAGTTATGCATATAACGAAACACAAAGACAATTATTTTGGCTAATAAAACAATTCAGACTGAATGCTTACATGAATTAAAATAACAGCTGCTTTAAATTCTGTGCAATGCTGTAAACTAGCATAATTGCCAATCATTAAATGATAAATTAATATGTTTTTAAAGGCTCTTTTACCATATTAATGTTACTTTTTCCATTGTTTCTCTCCTGTGACATCTCACACTCCCCTTCATTACAGAAGGCACACACACACATTGACACAGTTATATGTTTAAATATACGTACTCATCCATCACACTACTTTCATATAAACATGCATCATCAAGCATGTAAAACCACATAGTCCACATGGTCACACTCATGCAAAGACCAAGGACAGTGTCAAACCAAGAACATAACCATGGTAGCATGACCCAGGTCATTAGAATGATGAACATAAAACGGGGGATGCAGGGAAGCAGCGCTTAACAATTGAAGTCCTTGTGTGGAGTCCAATGGAGCCAATATAAGGGAGAAAACAACATGTGACAGGAATACTAATATAGTGTAGTATGTCTATAACAACAGAGGCAGAATATAAGGAAAAACATATATTGCACTCACACTTTTCAGGAGTTTAAGATCAGCTCCAGATCACAGCGTATGGACGAAACAATCCCCGCCTGTGGATGTTAGGATGGTCCTGGTATCGTATCCCTGTGACAGTAATCCACATTTCATCCAAGCACCCACTTGACGTGATTTATCGAGGGTTATCCCAACACATCGACTGCTTTTTAATCACAATCTTACACGACAATAATAACCAGCACAGATATTCCTCCAGATAACTCACTTTAAGAAATACTGATTTCTTAGGAAGTCCGTCAGACTTACACAAGAGTTTACTTGTTTTGTACAAAAGGACCCAAGGAATTTTGATGTGTGTGTGTTGAACCACAATTTCAATCTTTCTCATTTATTGCACCAACACATATTACATTCTTTTTTTAAAGGATGAAGCAGATTTCAATTTAATCTTATTTGTTCTAAAAACAAAAAAGTTAAAAACACAAAAAGCAAAAGGGCGAAGGGGGTTGTTGGTTTGAGTGGCGATATGTGTGTGGTATCACCTCTTAGTGCTTGAGCGGTGCACTATCATTTGGAGGCCAGAGCGCGTTGTTAAGGTGAGTGTACTCCACTCATGTGTCAACCAATTAAACTTATAAGGATACTTCTAAAAAGATTAATGAAAACAAACATGACATAAAAGAGTTTGAGCCGCAGGTTGGTTTTAAGTCCCTCTGTGTAGTCAGATTTCTGGGTGTAGGGTCAGATGATCCTTTGATGTAGAGGGCGCAGCTATTGTAGCGTCCCGTTTATTCGATTCGAGGTGTCCGTCTGGAGGGATTTTTGGGGGTCCGGAATACCCAGAGCTTTAAAGAAGGTAGGTGCCTCGGCTAGTGAGGAGAGTTTATGTACAGTCCCATTGTGAGTGGCCACTAGGAACCTGGGTGATCTCCAGTGGTATTCCACACCGGCTGTTCTCAGGTGGCTTGTTACTGTATTCAGGGATCTTCTCCATTGTAGCGTGGACCTAGTGAGATCCTGGTAGAAGGAGAGACTTGTCTCTTCAAAGGATAGTGGCTCCTTGCCTTGGAGCACTGACATCAGGAGTCTTTTATCCTGTGATGTGGAACATCTGACAATCACATCCCATACCACACTAGAGGTAGCTCTGCCTGATGCTGGTAGTCGGTAGATCCCATCAATGGTGAATTTCTTGGTGTGATTCTGGGGTAGTATAGAGGCCACAAGTCACCTAATATAGTGAGGGAGTTTGTCAGGTGTGATTGTGTCAGGTACCCCTCTGATCTTCAGGTAGTTGCGCCGTGACCGGTCATCCAGTGCTATATAATGGAGTGAGAGAGCCTGTTGGTGGACTTGCATTGTTAGGACTGAGTCTTGGAGGTCTGAAAGTCCACGTTTAATTTCAGCTATGTCCTCTTCTGAGGCCTTCACCATTTTGTCAACTGCCTGTATGTCTGCTTTGACAACTGCCACATCTGCAGCTAGGAGTGTCTTGATCTCCTGAACCAAGTTGCGGAAGTCCTGCAGTGTGACCAGTTGTGCCAGATGCCTGCCCAGGTGGTGGGTCCGGTTGTACAGGCTCTGCTTGTGTCATTGCAGTTCTGTGATCTGCCTTGCCTGCCATTTTGGCTGTCTGGTGTCGCTGCAATAATGCCCCTATGTCTCTGGACCCTGATGGTGGATCCAGAGGGGGCTTCTTCTGGGACCGCCTGCTCATCTGTGCCAGGGGTGTTAGGTAAGCGTCTGGATAGTATTCAGCCTCCGGGTCTCCATGAGGCTCCAAGCTGCCTAGCAAGTCTGACCCCAGGCCTGCGCTTCTGCCTTCTTACTCTCGCTGCTTTGCATGAATGGCATAGGTCGCCTCTGCATACTCCGTGGACTGTGAGCCGTTTGCAGGTTGGGAGAGGGGTTTAGCCCTCTAAAATCAGGCTTTTATCGTCTCGACAGACGGAGCGCAGTGAAATGGCGACTGCTCTTGCTCGCGCTTAAGCTCTGCCGAATTTGACATGTTTGTCTTCTAAGTTTAATAGCAATTAAAAAAATAAAATTGCCACAAAATTATATATTTATATAAAGTAGACATCGCAGACTATTAACTCAATGGTATTGTGCCACAGGTAGTATTTTGTTATATGGATTGGATGGACCTATGCCTAATTCTGTGGCATTTTAGTGGCTTGACTGCCCAGAAAGACCTACCATTTGAGAAAGTAGGCTCTCCAGGGTATCTAATATAGTATACATTGTGACTCAATGATTTATTATTGTGCTGTGTTTGTTTTCACATGCACATTGCAATTTAGTTGTTTATTTTGTAAACTTGATGTGTACCACTATAAAAAAACAAAACACTAAGCAGAGCTTAGTTAGACCTGAGTGTAGAATGACCCTGTTTGCATACCATTGTCACATTTTTGTGAAGATACAGAGCTGAATTTATAACCTGGCTAGCGCAGTTATAAAAACGAAAAAAAAAATCGGATTTAAGATGGGTCTGTGGTATAGTTGAGCAGCTCACACATTTTTATTACTTCATATGTGGATTCTCACATGACAGATCTTGAACTTTATTGAGATGTCAATTTTTTTTTGTGCTAAATTTTGTGGTATTCATTTTTACATAAAGATTTATGTTTGCTGATTTATTTGTTTTTAAATCTCATGTTTGACAATGTAATAAACTTTTCTAAGCTGTACTACCCAGCATCAGCTCCTGCTGATCTCAACAGAGAAATTCCCTTGCTGGCCCTAATCCTAATCCTTAACCCTAACTAATTAGGATTAGCAAGAGATTTGATGTCCGCAGAAGAAAACAATCAATGATTTCAGCAAATGGAATCCCTTTCTGACATCTTGAGGGGTTCCCTTGCTGACATCAGCATAGGGAATCCCTTTTTAGTGTTTTACAATTGCTTCATGTGAGAGATTATTTCCCTCTCTGCTGTTAGACCATATTGTGACAAGTTGTTACATCACTTAAATGACTCCTGCAGCTGCAATCACTCATAGTGATCAGGTCTGGACAACCTGTATAGCCTATGAGCACTGATAAACCTCTGCAGCCAGTGACCAAGCTTCCAGGGGCTTGCAGAGAGACCCCCACAAGTCTCCCTCTGCTGGAGGGACATCGGAAATTATGAGGCTGAACCCAGAAGTTCAGCCACTGTAATATAAAGGGCTCTATGCAGTGCTCACTTTGATACAGCTAATCAGCTTGGGGCTACGAATTCTGGCCCCAGGTATCTAGTGGTGCCTGGTGTTCCCCTGTTCCCTGCAGGGAACAGTCCCTTGATGATAAAATACTGCATGATGGAATTATTAAGTCTTGGGTCCTTAAGAGAAGGACATCCATGATGGAATTATTCTGTCATGCATCCGTAAGGGGAACAAATATGTATTTTCAAGTAGTGAAAAACAAAATTAAATATAGGAATACATACCTCTTTACCCTACAACTGGGCATCTCTCTGTCAGACATTCTGTTCTTTACACCTAGCAATCAGCATAGAGAAAGCATACAGAGAACATTTGTCTTCTGCATTAACAATGTTGGCACTGCTTTGTTGTGTCTAAACTGGATTGTGATGTAATTTGCTTACTCTATAAATTTAAAACAAAATAGAGCATCTCATGAGAATGATGAAAACATTTTTTTTTTTTTTTTTATTCAATGCTATAAAATCCAGAGATGACCGTTCCTCTTAAATTATAAAATTAACTAGGCAATGTACTAGATGAACATTGTGTTCTAGCAATCTCAACACATAGGTGTCTTTAAAGCTTGCCTGCTTCGTGTATCTAGAAAAATTCTACTTGAATCCAATCAGAATTCCTGTACATTAGGGTTTATAAAACACCCCACAAATGTCACTTTGTTTCCTAAAACATAATTAAGTTAAATACCCAAAAAGTACCACAACACCCTTTCTTTGGAGAAGACTGAAGTTAAAGAAACATTGTTTTGCATGTGTATACGTACTAATTCTACTATTTTAAAATCATTGGTCACTCCTGGAATGTCACGCTTTATAGAATACCCAGTATATAACCCAGTTAGAGTAAAATGTGCATTCTGACACACAAACTCCATACATTTAAGATCACAGGTCACAGAATTGGCCTCTATTGGATTTAGAAAAGAGGACAACCTAAACTGAATGGGCTTGCTGTATATGGCCAGTAAAACTCTGTTCAAGGATACACTATTTTAAATGTTATACAGTGAAACCCTAAATGCTTTGGAGTAATCAATATAGTAGTGAGAGCACACAAATGTAACAATAAAAACCACACGTTCTACTTTTTAAATATCTAAGGAAAGGCACTAGTATCTGTGCAGAAAAGTTGGTGTGTTTTTTTTTTATTGTTGCGTTTGTGTGCTCTCATTAGCATATTGATTATTATGTGCACTTTATTTGTATGTTTGGGGTGAACACATAGGAGATTGTAGCACCAAAATTCAAATATCCTTAATAATCCTTTAAAAATGTATTGTGTATTAATACTGATGTTAATATATTACATTCATTATCTTCCACCTTGTTAGGAGTATGACCCTTCATGTATTGTGAAAATGTATGAGAAAAATGTATGGTACTTCTTAGATAACATATTTCTGGTTATAAAAAGGCAATTTTCGGGGCAGGAACAGAGAGAGAGGGGAAAACAAAACCCAACAAATTATTTATTTTATGTTTTTTCTTTAACACAAAATTCTCAAAAACCTTGCATGCAGGAATATACTGCAGCCAGCTGACATGATGAAAGAAAGAAAAAATCCCCATAGTATCACAATAGTGATGTCCCGAACGGTTCGCCACAGATGGCGAACATATGCGCTGTTCGGTCCGCCCCCTATGTCATCATTGAGTAAACTATGACCCAGTACCTCACAGTCAGCAGACAAATTCCAGCCAAACAGCAGCAGACCCTCCCACCTCCTGGACAGCATCCATTTTACATTCATTGTGAAGCTGCATTCTTAGTGAGCTGTCCAGGAGGTGGGAGGGTCTGGGAGGTAGGGTCTGCTGCTGATTGGCTGGAATGTGTCTGCTGACTGTGAGGTACAGGGTTAAAGTTTACTCAATGATGACGAATAGGGGGCAGACCAAACAGCGCATATGTTCGCGGCGAACCATTCGGGACATCACTATATCACAACTATTTAATCATATACTTTAAACAGGTTAACAAAAAAAACACATGAAACAGCTCCTGAAGTCGTCATGTCTCACAGGGAAATCATTGGAGGATTTGGGAGCTAGTGTATAGAGGTCCACGCATCTGCAGGATGTATGGGTTAATGCCACATCCAGTATTTAGCAACACATTTAATTCATTCATTATATTGTTGAAGTTACATTCTCAATGCAGGTCGGATCGATCTCACAGATATTTATCTATTTACATAAATATTTAAAAAAAGATAAAAAGCCATTGATTTTCACCAGAATAGGTTTACTTTCTATTTCTTTACAAATTGGATTTTATCCCCCCGCAACTTGTGTCCATCTAGCAATAACTTAAAAATATATATATATATCCAATTGGTAAAATTATAAACATATTTAGAATATTTTACAGTCTATGTTAAAACTGGCATAGCTACTGCTTTATTTAATAAGAACTAGAAGCAAATATTGAAAGAAAACAAGATCTGAATGAGAGTTAAAACATTCACTTCTCAAATCAATGTAGTCACAGATACTAAATGATTTAGGGATTACCCAATGATGTTCCAAAGGGAAGATCTGTAAAATCTGAAACATTAGTGGTTTCTAAGGACTCAGGGATGTGGAATTTATATCGCCCAACGCCTGTGACATGCATTTCCTAATATTTAAAAAATTTTTTAGCCCTACCACAGGCAAGTGTCAGAGCTGCCTTGGGGGGAGGGTTGGTGTGGGGCAGGGAGTGTATATCCAGCAAGGAGAGAGCCGGAATGGCCCAATTGGAAAGGTGTTAGAGGACGCCATAACGAAGGCCCAGTTGGAAAGGTGTAAGAGGATGCCATAATGAAGGCCCAGTTGGAAAGGTGTAAGAGGACGCCATAACGAAGGCCCAGTTGGAAAGGTGTAAGAGGATGCCATAACGAAGGCCCAGTTGGAAAGGTGTAAGAGGACGCCATAACGAAGGCCCAGTTGGAAAGGTGTAAGAGGATTGTGTGAGCAATTGCAGCAAACCACTCCTCACAATGCTCAGGTATTTAGCGTAATGTTATATTCTGCAGCCAACACTCTGTAAAGTACAGAAAGAGCATGGGGCACACACACATTACATAAAGCCAGCACACAACACACACAGCCAGGACACACAACACTTGCATCAAGCACAGCCAGCACTCACTGCTCATATATGACACACAGCAAGCACACACACTGCACACAGATGACACACAGCAAACACACATTAGGAAAAAGGGGGAGACTATAGGAGGGCAGAGGGTGAAACTCTCTGGATAATTCTTAAGACTGTTTCTTTTTTTTTCCAACATAAATTCAAATATGAAAATTGAGGCAATAATAGCCATGTTGTGGCTATAGCAGAGCTAGATAATTTCTCTATTTTTCCTTTCAGATTTATTTTGTGAAAATTCAGAGTTCAGCAAATAGCCCCAGTTTTTTTTTTTTTTTATTGAAATTATTTTGTGCCAGGGACAAGTAGATGGTCATGACGGGCAAGTATATTGGGCTAACACATTAGTCCCTTGCACAAGTAGATTTTTTATTTTTTTGAAACAATTCCACACGCCTGTGTCTACATAACAACCAATGTTCCACACCATGAAGTTGTGTTAGTTTCCTAGAGTCTAAAAACGGCGTGCAAGGAGTGACCTATATCACTCCCAGGCCACACTTCATCATGAGTTATAACAAGATCACTTAATATCTAAAACATTCTCACAAAATGGTTCTCCCATCAGGAATGTAATCTTTAAATCAAAAGGACAATAGAAATATTTACAAGTGATATTGGAGATATACAGGGCACAAGAACCAACTCTAAAACAATGCTTATAAAATGACTTGTCTAAATTTTAGGTAATCTGAGAAGAAGCTCTCGGGAAATGATTGCTCTATTCTTATGCAAACCCAGTTTCTCAACATGGCCAGCATTGTCTTAGAACATAGATTTCACAGAGAGATCAGTTTTTTTAATAAGCAGGCTGAAAAATAACCGACCACACTGGATATTTATAAAGTAGTATTCCTACTGAATATGAAAATATCTGGACAGAGCAATAGTTTCTAAAAAAAAAAAAAATCAAAGATTAAAAAAAAAAATCTTTTATTTTAACAACCTCAACACAACGAATGAAACTAATGCAGCCAATTTTCAATAAAAAGGCATTTTCCCCATGAAAAGGGAGTGAAAAATGCAGAAATAAAAATGAAAAGATGACATGTCGTTTATGCAGATGGAATGAAATGGAATAACATGGTTTACTTCAGTAAGGCAGCAGTACCAATAAATATGAGAGTTTTTTTTTTCGTTTTTTGTTCTCAGGAAAAAAAAGACTGCAAATAATTTTTACAACAATCGACTCTAAGATGCTCTTGTAAACATGACTTATTAAGCGAAGCATTTGCATTGCTATGCGATCTGTACTCATTTACAATTTAGTCATGGAGCATGCACACTGGAAAATGAAATGAAGCTTCTATCGCTGTCTTTTTTTTTTTTCTCCTATGAATTGTATGAATAGAAATTCTTCTGCTTCTACAAAATTTCCAAGTCGACGTGCCGAACCTCTGGGTTGCGTTGCTGAAACAAAGAAATTTGTAATTAAACATAACAAAAGAATTTGCATCACCCTTGGCTTCGGGGGCACAATACTATTTACGTATTTGGAATAAATAAATAAAAACAGCTTTTTGTCTGAAAAAGAGAATGTGTATATGTCTTAATATACGGTCCAATTCTTTTGTGCTCCTATATCCCAATATGAAATTGTGCTGGTAATGCAAACTTGGTGTAATCAGAAATATGTACAGTAATTGATATATTAAACAAGTGCACGTTTTTTTTCTTCTTTACGCTAGTACGGAATGGAAGTCGAGTGGCAGCTGTTATGGGTCACCATTAGTGATGTCCCGAATGGTTCGCCACGGACGGCTAACATATGCGCTGTTCGGTCCGCCCCCTATTCGTCATCATTGAGTAAACTTTGACCCTGTACCTCACAGTCAGCAGACACATTCCAGCCAATCAGCAGCAGACCCTCCCTCCCAGACCCTCCCACCTCCTGGACAGCTCACTAAGAATGCAGCTTCACAATTAATGTAAAATGGATGCTGTCCAGGAGGTGGGAGGGTCTGGGAGGGAGGGTCTGCTGCTGATTGGCTGGAATGTGTCTGCTGACTGTGAGGTACAGGGTCAAAGTTTACTCAATGATGACATAGGGGGCGGACCGAACAGCGCATACGTTCGCCATCCGTGGCGAACCGTTCGGGACATCACTAGTCAGCATTCTAAGCGTTCTGGGCCCAATACAACAAATTTTACTGGGTACCAGTAGATTCCTGTTAAGGACCCCCCCTCTGGTTATACTATCTCTTTTCTTTGCCTTTCATGAGGAAGTGGTTGGCTGCTGATCTGAGGTTATTAGCAGCCAATAACGGATATTTATCTATTGCAGACCACGGTACCCAAATAAGTGTTGGAATTTTTGGAAAAGTTGACTCCTAATTCCGCTATGGTTAGTTTTGATATAATATACTCACCTTTTTAATAACACCCACTACACAATTTCATTTTACATTTGTTTGGACTCCTAAGGTTATGTTGCTTAGACTACCCCTATAAAAGAAAAGCCAATACTTCTATCTCTCTGCAGAGACCTTAAAGGGACACTATAGCAGGGCTTGACAAATTTGTTTGGAATATTGGAGTCAGCAATTTTCAACGAGAAAGTGCAATTCTTAAAGGGACACTATAGTCACCAGAACCACTACAGCTTGATGTCTATAGCCTGTCCCTGCAGTGTAAACACTGCCTTTTCCGCGAAAAGGCAGGGTTTACATTGCTGCTTAGTAACACCTCTAGTGACAGTCACTCAGATGGCCACTAGAGAGTCCTGGGTCACTGATGCACCATGTGCAGCACCCAGGTTCAGTGTCTTCAAGCTCTGCATGGAGGCGCTG